TGTGATTTTCTAAAAAATTTTTTACAATCCTACTATATATAAAAAAATAGTGTTTGTGTGTGTGTGTGTGTGCCACTTTGCATCCACTTCCGTGTGGCTGTCCGGAGGATATCTCGATGGGGGATGAATTTTCAAGTACGTATGATACGTCATTAGGTGCGCAATGGTCTTGAGATGACTGCACACATATCAAATTTTACAAAAATAGCTATTTTCGACATTAAATTTAAGTTTTTGTGAAAGCTCCTTTGTTAGGAAATAATTAGCATAGACCGGAAGTGGTGATTCGGCTATATAAAAGCACAGAAGAAGTTGTTTTTCATTGTTAGTCATCTGAATTCAGGACAATTATGTAAAGTGAAGGATAAAATGGGGTTAGACGGGGCCAGGGTTGAAAAGTCGCGAAGCGGCTTTTCAACCCTGGTTTTCTACTACCCCTCTTCCCTCAAAACTCCACGAACCGCTAGCGTGTCGCCAGTCGTAGCGAGCGCGAGGAGACGCGGCAACACGTCGGTCTTCATGTTGTGGCGAGAGATGAGTTTTGCGATTTTTGGCACGACGTTGAGGCAGATTTCCTGAATGCATGGAAATAGCGGAATCAAAAGAGGCGCAATACTTGGATTCGGCCATTCTCATTTTTGATCGCACGATAGAGGCAGGGTAGGATGTGATTGTCGACATCTTTTGGGTCGGCACGACTCAAGAAAAGGTCAAGCTTTTCGAGGAGCAGGATCGTGATCTGAAATTGCCAAATTAGTTTTAAATATTTTAGTTTGATTATTTTCAAATTTTTCGTCCGATTTTAAAATTCTATTTTTACAAAACCGATTTTTCCGAAAACAATTTGCACCTGGATCCGATTTTTCGCAGTTAAATCGAGAAATGTTTCAAGATCGTGTTAGCTCTAGTTTCGTCAAAAATATTACAAACCTGATACGGGCGTTCCATCGAGAAAACCGGCGCCAATTCCGGCATCACCAACGTCGTAAACTCCTCCTTGTCCGTCAGGTCGATGATGTAGAAAAGCGCGGGCAGGATGAAGGGGATCAAGTCGGGGTGCGAGAACTCGGCCGTCAAGCAGGGCCGAATTTTTTGGACGAGTAGTCGCTAAAAAAGCAATAAAAAAGCTATAACCGCTCTTTTACCTTCTCAAAATGGATCAGCATATCCGGCAACTTTTTCAGCAGCTCAATCTTGACCATTTGCTCGTGCTGCATGAACGATTCGAGCGTTTGCACCGTGTCGAGGCGGTGGTCTTTGAAGAAGGGGATCTGGAAATGGGTTTTAAGAATTAAATATTGTAAAAAACGTTATTAAGTATATTATAATCGTTCTTAAACCTGACAAACCTTTGTAAATTGCGCGGCATCCGGTCGAATTGCTGTCGATTTGTTGAGGCACAGCTTGAAATCCTCGCGAAATGTCTCCGGCATGCTTAGCGCCCATTCTGGGGGAACATTTTTGAGCTATAAAGATTTTTAATGATGATTTGGCATTAAAAAACCTTTTCTAGTCCTTGTCGTAGCGTTTCAAATCGATTCCTAGCCTGTATCGGGCCCTTCCCCTCGTTAAAAATCGAGTAGGCGGTGATGGCGAGGGAATAGACGTCGGAAGCGGGTTCTCCCCTGAAAAAATAACCTATTTGCAATTTTTCCCATATAACATTGTCTTAAAAATTTCTTGTTTTATTTAAATTAAAAATGTCATTTATCCAACCTATGGCTCGTTATCAATTCCGGAGCCAAAAAGTCGATCGCCGGGATCAGCTGCCAGGGCGCGCCGCTGTCGATGTCCGAGCAATCGCAGGATATCTGGAAAAAATGATATTACCACTATATGTTTTATTATAAGTTTTTAATATTCCATTATTTTAGGCTGTGGATTTTTGATACTCTATCGAATCGCTTCGAAAGATCTGGAGAACTAGCGAAAATTAAAATTAGAAAGAGAAAACTAGTTTCTTTTTCAGAATCTCTAACAGTAAGAGTAACACCAACCCCATTCGTATCAGTCGTCGACGCCGTCATCGCGAAATCAAACGCAGCGAGCTTGAAATCTCCCTTTTCGTTGAGGATAACCGACGCCGGGCTGACATTTCGGTGCATCATTTTTGCGTCTACGTGGAGGAAGGAGAGCGCTTCTGCTACCTGAAAATCAAGGAGTGAAAATCGATTATTTCGATACCAACCTGCTTCAGTCCTATCCTAATTTCGATATCGTGGAGTTTGTAGTTTTTGTGGTGGATGGAGGCAGGTTGGGGTAGGCCGTCGGTGTAGCCGAGGACGTTGGCAAGGCTGCCGATCACCGGCTCCGTGCAGAAAATGAAGGATTCTCTGAAAAAAATAATTTTTCACCAATTTTGTGTATTTTTCAAGTAAGAAATGAAGAAAAACCAACCGGCCCTCCTCCAGCGGATGTTCAACAACCAAAACGCGTGGATGCCGGACTCTTGTAAGCTGGGAAACACCCCGTTTCAACAGCTCGATAATTCTTGTCTGCTCATCTTTCGAAAATCCTTCCACCTATAAATCCATAACCTCAAAAACTATGTTTCCCTACCTGTTTCCGCTCAAACACCCATACAGCCACGCTCTGGCCGTTGGACCGCTTCTTGCCCTTGTAGATTTTCCAGAAATGAGCTGGGCCGGCGGAGCCGACGAGGTCGCCCGGCTCGAAAAGCCGCAGCGCTGGGTTTCCGGCGACGACATTGCCGACCTAAACCACTTTATTGAACAGGAAAAGTCTCAAACCTGCTCGACAGCTTTTGTGACGGTGCTGCGTACTTTTTGAAAGTACTCCATTACCTGAAAGTGAAAGATTAATGAAGTTAGAAACGAAAAAGCTTAAAAAAAGCAAGAAAGCAAGCAAATTTCTGAAAAAGAGGAATGAATTACGCGATGAAAACAGCCAATGGCTTCATTTTCACAAGTACGTCACAATACTTAATTCCACAGAACGTTCGGCGCGTTTTGTAGGTACCATCTTCATCGAAATAATAAGTTTTATGCATGTTTTTCTTTAGAGCTTGAAAAGGGTGATTGGTCAATCGTGCACGGCTCGCACAATCCCGTTTTTCAACATGGACTTTGTATGACTCTAAAATGTGATAACTATAAATTCTAATAAGCCTCGCTACCGACACCCAGCTGGCAAAGGTGGGCCACGGCATTCACGCAATGCAATGCATGGCATGTCAACGGGGGGCAAAGCAGGGCTATGGTATCTCGAGCAGCGAATAGCGAATTTCCCAGGCCCGGCCAAGGCCGCCCAAATTGCACCCCCACCGACCCCCCCGCAGCTAGCATCTCGGATGAACTAGGTCGTACAGTCTCGAGTTCGATCCCGGCAATTTCGGCAAGTATCGATCCGGGATTTGGTACGTTTCTCTACTCCTTGCCCCCTGGGTGCATAGGAACCATTCGGAATTTTCTTATTTCCGCGGTCCCCCATCTACCGTACCCGCTTGACTTCTAGTTTGACTGGACCCGTTTAGTTTCCACTTTACGCTTTGTTCTTCTCTCTTTTGAGGTTTACAACTAGCAAACAGTAGGAAAACATGACTATCGCTATAGTAGGAAAACATAACATATCGCTTCTGAAGTTGCACATGATTGTTCGATTTTCAAGGGTTGTCAACAAGAATTCCACGATGATTTTGGTTCCTAGCTTTTCCGAAATGTCGTAATTGCCTATTTTTAAAATCTTAGACTCATAAAATGACTACAAAACAGTACTGGAAACATAATTTTTCGTAGCTTTTGCACCGCTTTTCAGCTCTAAAATTTATTTTTTGCACGAACTTTCAGTCGTTCAAGGGCTGGGGACAAGCCGAACTATTCTTGCTTTTAACTTTCGGAAAAATACCGTAATCTTGTATTTTGATACTTTTAATATCCCCAATCATTGTCTGCATGAGCTCCCTGTAGTTTCTGATCCCATTAACTCAACCTCGCCTTCCTCTCGCTGCCACGCCTGATAACGATCTCGCTCCTGCACTTTGTGGTCAGATCCTCGGCAATCTTTTATTGTTGTCATTTTTAATTTATATACCATTCATGCTATTTAATAGTCATTTAGCGTTAAAATTTTCTTAAAACTATTTATTTACAGATTTCTGCATTAAAAAATCAAAGAATGTACGCCCTAAAAGCAGCCGGATGTGTCGCGTTGCTCGGCCACGCCGTGTATCAATTTGAGGTGGGTTAAAGGATTGAAATCGCGAGGATTACTAAAATTAAATCCATAATTTAACAGTATATATAATCAACAATATAAAAATTAGTATATTCGTTTTAAAACTCTTTTTTAGCACAACCCAAGTTGGTGGTTACACTGCCCATCTTACGTCTCCGCCGCTTTACTATCGCTGCTCCCGTTTCCGAATTCCTACATTTGGAAATTACTCTCGTCAATTTCGGTGATTGGCGGCGGGCTTTTCATGCTATTTTTGGGTATGTTTTGTAGTTTTAAGCAAGCTAAGCCATTTAAAACGGTTTTCTGGTAACGCTAATAACTTTAGAGGTATACTAAAGTTAAAGTCACTTTAAAAGTAAAGACACTATCAAAAAATCTCCACATTTCAGCCTACACCTTCCATAAACTCGACGGAACCATCGGACTCGTTTTGGACGAGGGAAAAGCCCTGCTTCCGGTCTCTGTGGGCGTCTTTTTGATCGCAAGTACACGACTGACCTATGGACACCTATCATCGCCAGTGGAATATTTTAGGTAAAGACAGACTCGAAAAAACTCGCATCAAGAAAATTTTAGGGGCTTCATCCTAACCGCCGTGCTGTTCGCCTCCGTGTTGTGTGCCGGGTTTTCGATCAAGTATTTCACGCTTGAGGCCTAACAAAAAAAACAATAAAAACTTTTTGGGTTTTTCTATAAATTAAAGATAAAGATATCACGATCATGCAGAATAAAAACGAAGAAATAAAAATACAAAACTACACAGGTACTCCTAACGACGGTTCTGGTGCGTTAGCAGGGGGCGGCAAGAAAGTGACTTTTTCAATGAGTCCTAAAAACAATAAAGATTTTAATACCATTATGAGTTCTTTTACTTCAAAAAATGATTCTACACATTGAAAAAATGTTCAACTTTGGTCAGAAATTTCGGAAAAAGTTTTTTGGAACTTTTTGGCTATCAGAAACTATCAAGGATACTAAAAAAATACGTAGCCTATTTTTTTTGCATTACTGCATGCATACAGGAAGTGCCCCTTCGCTAAGAGCAAAGCACCTACTACACAACTACCCGGTACACCTAATTACTTCCACTTCAGCACCTCAATACCGTAATTTGAGTTTTTCTCCTTAGTATTTGTGGGCAATGTGCTGTTTTCGGCATGCCTTTCGGGTTCGCAATTCTTTTCACAACCAACGTCTCCTAGCAACATCCCGGATTCCGTGCCGTCCGGCGTCGCCTCGCGCACTTTTGTCCTCCTACCCCACGAATTCCAGACTAATGGCGAACGTTGTACTATTCTTTTTGCTGGTTTTCGGAACGGCGATGCGAGGTCGGTAGGGTATCATGATGTAAGCTATCATCAAGATCGATCAGTTATCGATTTTAAGGTGTATTGCATCAAATTTGGAACGATTCAAGCTATGAAAATAGCGCAAGTGGCTGTAAATTGAAGCCATACCATCAAAGACCAAAACTAAGAAAAACGCCTTTTACCGATTTTCGCGTCAGCTTAGATTGGAATTAGGAACTTTCGTACTATAAAAATCATCAATTGTATATGAATAGCAGCAATAACAATACTACTATCCAAAACAATATTTTTAATTTTCACAAAAAGCTCGAAAAACTAGCCCTTTTTCCTTTAAAATACTTAAGTTTGGCTCGAAACTTCATTAAACATCATCAAATGCCTATGAATTTAATCTATGGCTCTACAAAGACTATAAAAAACCTCTCTGCGTTATAATTCCACAAAGCTGTCGTTGGGTATTTTTTGTGAAAATAGGGTCTAAACGCAGCTTTTCCGACTTACGTTGCGTTTTCGGTAAGTTTCTGGTGCGTTGCCAACCTTCACGTGGGGGCTCAAACAAATCAGGTTTTTTGAAGCGTAGTGATGAACTTACCTATAACTTTAATCCCTTCAGAAACCCTTGCCGTTCTCTGCCAACAGTGCAACGGCTGGGATGGGTTGTATCCGCTACGCTACTCCACCGCCAGCACATGTGACAACAGAAATAATCAATGTCAGAGTACTCAGGTAGGTTCTGGGATTTATTACACCTGCTTAAGATTGTTTCTATCATCATCTTCCTCAAAATCATTCACCCCAAATCGCGTCAGTTCAATTCTATGCCTGTTTTCCCTGGGAGTCTCGTTTTGCTAGGCAACTACCCGCGCGCCACATCCATTATTTAGCGCATCCAAGTTCGGGGCGGTGCGATTTTTGAGTTTTCGTCTAGAAGGGGTGAATGGAAGTAGGGAAACCGCTTACCTGAAAAATTAACACCTAGAAATGACAAAATCCGGCTGCGATACTTAAAGTCAACATTAATTTTTTTTAGTTCTGCGTTAAAATTATCGACAACATGGCGCCGGGGACCAACTATGGCACGTATAAGAGCGATTGTTTCTTCGCGACACAACTTCAGGTGAGAGGGAGAGAGAGAGAGAGAGAGAGAGAGAGAGAGAGAGAGAGAGAGAGAAAGGGGAAAGGGACAGAGAGAGAAAGTGAGATAAGGGAGAGAGAGCGAGAGAGATAGTGAGAGAGAGATGAGAGAGAAGATATTAAACTGACCAACTCCTAGATAAATCCAACAAACTTGACAAATATCGTCAACCGACAATGCTACCCCTTTCAAGATGGATCAGCACCTGTAAAGAGGTAGGTCGAGCTCGATCTGCTGCCTTAAAGGGACCAGGCAACACCAGAATCGACCCCCCGCGTCGGCTAGGTCTAGACAGCTGCGTCATTGGCCAAAAAAAACGCTAACCCAATCGCATTTGGTCGTCGCAATAGGCTGACTTTAATCAATTAAAACACGCTTTTCTGCGTATTTTCGCCTGGCTGATAACTGTCGAGACCCAGTGAATACAAGAAACCGATTCTGGCGCTTCCCAGCTCCTTTAATCAAGCTATATGATTCTAGATACTACTACTGCTTCTGCAACGATCGTGATTTCTGCAATAGCGCCCCTCGAAGTCCGCTAATTTTAGCCCTGGTCCCCCTCCTATTGCTTATCCACTCCATTATTTGATCGGGATCACGAGGTGGCGACTTGGCGGGTCGTCGGGCTCCGCGCGCGCACGCGTCAATTTTCTATTTATTTTCCCACGCTTTTTGACAGCGATCGGTCGAGGGGGTATTTAGTGTCGAAAAAAGTGGGGGATTCTGGAATACTAGCGGCTGCCAGGAGCTTGACGGCTCGCACGTAATCTCTTTACTACACTCTCCCTATACTCATACTTTTTCTGTGATTTTCAAAACAAACCTCATGTATTTGCCAGATTAATAAAAACTAACAAATGATAGCATCGTAATATTTTTTTTGCTGAGCAATAGAGTACCAGTTGACAACGCACAAGAGCTGTACGTCTAGAGAAGTGGTAGGTAAGCTACGATGTGCTACTTTCAACGCCTCGATGTGATACTCTCCCTACAATTTGATTTTAAGACATACGTCGCGCTATCTTGGACGCCAAAATACGGGGCGCTCACTAGTGAACGACAGCTGTCGTCTTTTTGTTAGCTGCCGCTCTGATGTCGGGACTGCACACAACGTCTGGACGAACCTCTCGTCGCCTACCCCAGAGGATACACTACACTTTTAACGCTAAGATACTTTGCGCTCATTGCAAATTTGTTTTTGCGAGTTTCCTTGCCCCTATAGGGTTTGCGCACAAGGTCTGTACGGCTCGAGAAGTCTCGCGCCGCCTACGTTTTACTGCGCCTAACACCGCAACCAATTGTTGTTTTTTCGAGCTTTGCCACGTATGTTGGGATTGCGCACAAGGGCAGTACGTCTAGAGGAAGCCCGCGTAGTCTACGCTGGCACACACGCCGTACTGCTTTCAGCACCTAGATGTCGTGCCACGGTTCTCAATCAGGTTTTGTGCGTGCTATTTATCCCGCGCACTGGGTACGTGCGTCTAGAGAAAGCGCGCGTAATTAGAGCTAAACTCAACGCGGCGTTACTTTACACGCCTATTTATCGTGCGCGCCTTGCAGATTTGATCTTTTTGTCTTTTCCATCTGTCGTATGATCGGATTGGCCGCAGCGAACATCACCACCTCACCTCGCACTTATTTTTAGCTCTAAATCTATCCCGGTAATCCCATCAGAGATCACCTCCACCCGGGGATCTCCACCGAATCCACATATCGCCACCATATCGCCAGGAAAAGCGGCTAGTCATCTCTTTGAGGGGGGCCAACAACAAACCAAATACCAGGGACACAGATACGCGCGCCACTACTACTCGAGACTATCTCCCCCCTAGATCCGTCTGACTAGGCCGATGGGGCTAAAGCCAAGGAGGGCCGTCGGCAAACAACCACATGCTACAAGTTCAACCAGTGTGGACAGTGGTATCACTTTTTTAGCTTGTAGTAGTTTTGTCTATGAACTAGTAGTTTGTTACCCATACCTTGGGGTTGGGAGTAATTGATCTGCCCGGGGGGCGCTTTCGAGATAGCAAAAAAAACTTATAAAGACTGCAAAACCGGACTCAGCGTATCAAATTAAATTATTTTTGTGACTTGAAAATTGCTTAAAACGCGTTGAAATTCGAGATATTTAAATTTAATTTTCGTATGACAAGCAAAACAGCGAAAGTTCAAAATTGCGAACGCTGAATCTCAAAACCTGCTAATCTCGCTAAAAAATTTCTCTTGATTTTTATTTAATTAAAATCTGCATTATGTCATAAAAGTGGCAAGCATATAAGCTACTATAAATGATTTGGGCCATGTTTTTCAAATAGCTTCAGCGTGCATCCGCTTAAGATACGTCGGCTTAAAATTTGTACAACGTGCGTAATCCTGCAAATTCTCGACATTTTGCTGACTTTAGCTAAAAATACGCTCAAGATGTCTAGAATCAGGTTAAACTTTGCTATATTACGCCATAATTAGTCAAATTTCAGCTTAAGCTAGACAAGGCGTCCGTAAAAAAGATCAATTTTGAAGTTTATGTCTCTAACCTTATTTGGAGACTCACGCTTCTGAAAATTGTAAAAAGTTTCCCTATTATCGGATTCCTTCTTCTTGCTTTTCTTCGAAAGCATTTACCAGAAATTAATCAAGTCTTCTAAGCCACGTAAAGCCCTTCCATTCCCCCCAAAATCACCCTCGACACCCCTAACAAGATCTCTGTGAAGCTGCTACAAGTGTTCCACACCTCAACACGTTCCCCTACACAACTTTTGACACCTTTCAAGAGTGTTCACGCCCTACCGATCACTAGCCGACCAGATCACAGCCATTCACAAGAGTTCCGAAGATGCGTTTCGTGTTTTTCTTCGGCTCGGCTTTTGGTGCGTTCCTCGAGAGCTTTTCGGGTGGGACACGTAGCGGCGAGGTTCTTTGAAGAAGTAGCAAACTTGTGTCGGTGTGTGTGTGGTGTTTTATGTCTCGAGTGTTGCCTGGGACGCCCCGGAAAAAGGGCTCGATTTGAAATCGGTGGAGTGTGGGATGGTAAAAATGTCATGGGTTCGATTTCGATAGGCTTGGCCTAGGCTTAGGCTTAGGCTTAGGCTTAGGCTTAGGCTTGGGCTTAGGTTTCGCTTATGCTTAGGTGGATTAGACCTAGGTGGATTAGGCCTTTGCTTAGGCTTTGCTTAAGCTTACGCGGATTAGGCTTTGCTTAGGCTTATGCTTCTGCTTAGGCTTACCTGGCTTAGTCCTTGCCAATAATTACCTATTTGCACCCAAAACCGTACATCACCTCCTGGGAAAATCTCGAACCCAGGCTTCCCCAAACTCATCACTATTTCGAAAGCTTTTTTACGCCCAAAACCTGCAGCTTCGCGTTTGCTAGGGGAAAATTTTGCAGCTTTTTTGTCGAGTACTTGTCGCTTCAAGTCAGAATTTTCCTGGTACGTCACTGTGAGCCTCGAGGGGGGGGGGCTAAACTCTCAACTCGGTGTTGATCTTCCAACGAACACTACACTCTCTCATGGGGCCAGACAGACGTCTTGGATCGACTTTGTTAGATACATCATTCGCTTGCGGTGTTGCCAAATCGGCACGGCAAGGCAAAGCAATTTATACGATTTTTAAAGCTGTAATCGACTAATTTCCTCACTCAGAAACGTATAAGTGTGGCTGAGCCTAAGCCTAAGGCTATGCGTCAGCCTATGCCCAACCCCACGCCTAAGCGAAGCGAAGCCTAAGCCCAAGCCTAAAAGCCTAAGCCCAGCCTAATCCTAAGCATATCCCTAAGCTTAAGCCCAAGCATATGCCTAAGCCTAAGCCTAATCCTAAACCACCCTCAAAACCGCGTCCAAAAACCAACCTCCAGACACATGGAGGTACAACTCCGGGACGCTACTCTAGTCCCCAGCAAAAACCTTGCCTTCGATCTCTCACCTCTCATACTTTCCGCATTTTGAGTGTGTCCACCTCCGTTGCACCCACACCGGCACTCATAACGCCCAGAACTGGGGGTACTGTAGCTCGCTAGTCACAACATCTTGGAGCCCCACCCCCACTTGAGGAGGTTTTTCAGTTATTTTTCTTCTTACTCTCGTTCTCGCTCTCGCGCTCTCTCTCTCTCTCTCTCTCTCTCTCTCTCTCTCTCTCTTTCCCCCTCAATTGTGTGATTGCTGTTCTTCTCGCCTGTTTGCCGGCCTCGAGGGTCAACACCAAAAAAGTTACAGTGGCCAGCACCCGGATAAAAGCCAGCCCGGCAAGGAGTTCCGCCAGCTGTACTTCCCCTACAAGCCCAAAGCCTAAAAGATGACCGAAGTTGAGCAATTGCCGCAGACTGCCGAATTCAAGGACCCCGTCGAGCCGCAGGTCAGTTTGCCAGCTGCTCTGGCAGTACTTGTTGATGTCGTGGAGGAAACGGTAGGGACCAGTTTCGATGTTTTTTTTGGGTAGCCGGACGCTATCTAGCCAATAGCTACGCAGAAATTTTTCGGCTTTTCGAGTGCACTTTTATGTATTTAGTAGTTTTGCGTTACGAAAAAGTTGCGAAAAATATCAGAACATGTAAAAACTCGTGTATATTTTCAAAAATGGCGTAAATTGTTAAAAACCGTTTATTTTTATTTTAGGCGTGCAGGGTAATAGGAAAAAAACCACCCCCCCCCCCGTTAATTAAAACGCACTTGAGAAATTGCCTATATTTTCATCATCAGCATTGCTTAACTAAAACGAATAATATCTCCAATTACAGCACATCTTCATCGGCCGCCGAGATGCCGTCATGAAGAACGCCGACATGCCACAGGAGATGCAGGATGACGCGATAGAATTGGCGCAGCAGGCCATCGACAAGTTTCGATTGGAAAAGGTTCAGTTTTTTCCTTTCGCAGGCATCCCACTGCCTTTCAGAGCGCGCACGGGAGGGGTGGTCGGGGCGTGGTGTAGTGGTCTAAGGCGGCGGTTCAGCCCCGAGACAGGGGACGCGGGTTCGGTTCCCGGGTTCGCAGGCCTCCGCATTTTCGTTTTGCTTTTTTGCGGAAAATGTTCCTAGTGGAATGCCATGACTCTAGTCGAATCAAGAAGCATCCTATCACTTTCTTTCGCGCAGAATGGATGAAGAAAAACAGCGGACTCATGCATATATCCCAAATCGACCGCTGTTAAAATCACAACGCTACGACGTTCTAAAACTGGTTGCGGCAGATAGAGCGAAGTTTGTTCTGTGTTCCTAGCTTTCAAGCAGATTCCAGACCAACCAGGAAAACGTACTATAGTCAGTTGAAAATTTTAACTAACTTTCTATTGCAGCGTGATGTAGATGTCAAGGTGATGCGATTTTGCACTTTATTAGATAGTTGCTAGTCTATAGTTTATCAAAAAAATGCAATTGAGGCGCTATGGACAAACATTTAGCTTCCCTATGATGCCCGTTGTCTTAGGTACCTCATTTTTTTTCAACTTCAAACCGACCGGGCGCCCGATTGCCGTGTACGATTTTCAGGAAACATTGACCAAAAGATAGAGCAGAAGCTGTTCTATTTTTCTGTACACTCAAGTAGATTATGAAATCTTCTCAGAAAAAAGTTATAGCCAGTTGAAAGTGGAAAAGATAGCACCCCTTAGCTTAACAATGCATTACGCGAGGGGTATTGGAGCGCCCCGTAGCCTAGCCCCTTCGCCCCCTCTCGTGCGCGTTTTTATTAAAGGATGAATCGTAGTGATCCACCTCAATCCCAAATCTAATTCCCTCTCCGATTCAACTAATCATCCGCCTTACAGAACGCCATTCAGGAAATGGCCGCGTTCATCAAAGCCGAATTCGATAAGCGGCACTACCCGTCATGGCAGGTCGGAACTTTTAATGTTCTTCTAAAAAGCTAAAAAACTATGAAGTATACAAAAACGTTACATTACTCTAAAAACCAGCACCAAATAACATAAAGCACTAAAGTAAAAACAATCGAAACTTTAAAAGTTTCAAACCCTTTTCAAATCTATCTAAACCACTTAATTAGAGCGTTTAAAACTTCCAAAAACGCTCGTAATCGCGTAATCGCTAAAATACCTAGAAAACTACGACATTAGTCTGAAAACCAATGCTTAGCTAAATACAACATCAACTACGATTTAATAAGGTTTAAAATCGTTCAAAAATGAGCTCGTTCCCAGGTCGTTGTCGGCAGCAATTTCGGCTCATACGTCACGCACGAGACCAACCGCTTCATCTACTTTTACATTGCCCATATCGCGTTCATGTTGTACAAAACCGGGATCTAAATCGACTGTTGACCCTCATCAAATAAATTCCAGATCCTCAATAAACCAAAATTCCAGAAAAAGACTGTATTAGCACACACACAGAAAGGAATACACAGCAGCACGAGGAAATGCGCGGGGGTCATAGTCACATGGATATACAAGGGGGCGCGTGAACCTGAAAACACCGAAGTAAGTGAAGCATTTGGGGGAAGGGAGATGCACAGTTTTTGGGTGATGGAAAGTAACAAATATGGTCAGGGTGGCGGCGCGGCGAGAGAATCAGAGATGAGGAGACTTTGGTCAAAAAAAGAAGAAGAGTACAAGTTTCGGCGGCTACCAATCCTTTGCAATTTCCAGCGTCCACTCCCACTTCGCGAACACGTTCTTGTAGTCGTCGGTGAACTTGGAATGGACCTGAAATGGAAGGCATTGATAAACATAAAACTAACATTATTACACTAAACCATAACTTTATTACACAAAATAACGTAATTTCGACGATCCTTAATAATCTTAATAACTTTTTACTGCTATTCAATATTTCTAAATATCAAGCGAGAAACCGTTTCTGAACCGTTTTTCACTGTTCCTAAACTTTAACACTATTAAAAATTCAAAAACATCAATTTTTCGACTAAAATGGATTCCATTATCCCCATCCCGTAAAAAGCAAACCACCGTCAAAATTTTTAAAAAGTTTCGAAAGTTGCGTAAAGAGTTTCTCTGCTTGAAATACAAAAAGAAAAAAGAAAGACTATGAAAATGGATACCTTT